TGCACGTTTGATCAATTTCAAATTGAAGAAGTTGGTAGAATTCTTCTATTTCATCCTCACTGGCTTTAGTGGTTGGTGTGTAAATTTGAATAATAGTGGTATTAACTGGTCTTCCCTGTAGGCACATGGATATTATCTTACCACAGACAGCGTTGTATCTCATGACTGATCTGGATATGTTCTTTTTGATGATGAACGCAACACCATTCCTCTTCAATTTGTCATTCCCAGCATAGTAAACCATGTGGCTGTCAGATTCAAAATGGCCAATACCAGTCCATTTCAGTTCACTAATGCCTAAGATATCGATGTTTATGCATTCCATTTCAAGTTTGACAATTTCCAATTTTCTTAGATTCATATTTTGTACATTCCATGCTCTGATTATTCTAAATGGCATATAAATAAATATATGAAAAGTTGCTTGTCTTCATTAGGCATCAAAAAATGTAAATGAAACATACAGTGATATCTCACTACATAGTAGTGGTTATGAATCGGGCTGCGAACCGCAACATCAGCAGTTCAAAAAACTACCAGCTGTTCCGTAGGAGAAAGATGAGGTTTTCTGCTCCTGTAAAGATTTACAGCCTCAGAAACCCAGTACAGGGTCGCTATGAATCAGAACCGACTCCACAGCACATAACAACAACAACCCACCAAAATAGTCAAAATGAAAAATCCAAAAAATATATCAATTTATAAAGATTTAGAGCAACTGGAACTTTCAAATACAGCTGGCACCAGAGTAAAATGGTACAATCACTTATGGAGTCCTGGTGTGGTGCTGTGGGTTAAGGTGCTGGACTGCAAAGTCGGTTTGATCCACAAGATCAGCAGTTCAAGCTCACCAGTTGCTTCTTAAAAACCCCATACATGGTCACTATGGATTGGAACTGACTAAATGGCACTTAACGAGAACAAAAATTGTAGTATATACACAGTAAAATATTAAAGAGTAATGAAAATGAATGAACCACATCTGCAACGTATGGATGAATCTTACAAGCATGATAATGAGCACATGAAGTATGGGCTGTAAAATTATTCATACAGAACTCAAAGGCAGATAGAAGTAATTCACAGTGCTAAAATCTAGGATAATGATTATCCTTGGGGCTCAGGGTCTGGAAGACCTAAGGGTATACTCTAGAGGGTTGGCAATGTTCTATTAGTTCATATAGGTAGTTGTCTCACATCATGTTCCTGATAATTTGTGTGCTTTTCTTAGGTAGGTTACACTTTAACAAAAAGACTTTTTATATTAACAAAAAAAAAAAAAGTTAGTCTTCATTACTAAGCAAAACCTGTTTTCACAGAACTGTATCTAAGGTAGGAACTAATCCATTAATATAGTAAATGGATTCCAAAAAAATTAGATATTATAAAACAAAGATACGTACAATAATATTTTGCTAAATGTAAATAGTGGGTATCTCTAGATTATGGATGATATTTATTTTCTTTCTACTTTATGTATTGTTTCATTTCTCTATGGTAATCACGAGCTACTTGTCATTGTAGAAAATACAAGTTGTTAAAACAAAATTTGATTATGATAAGTTAGGATAAGATAATGAGGAGAATGTTGGCAAGCAAATACATCCACTAACTATGCCCAAAACAAACCCTGGAAGGGCTCTGTGTCATGGCTTCTATCAAACCTCCAGAAGTCGTGGAGGGTTAGAGAAACCGGGGTGTGATATGAGCCAGAAAGGGCTCAAGGTCATCTGCACAGAGGGAAAGCCAAAGCTAGAGGGAGAGCCAAGGCTTTCTTTATCCTGACTGGGAAGTCTAGACCCACTATGGGGCCAGGTCTCCAGCTCTTGGGCTCTGGAAAGGTAAGTCCCGGGCACCAACAACTCACCCCACCCAGAAGTGGTTGCTTTCTGCCAGCTCCACTCCTAATCTATGAGTCAGTTTCACCCAAGTTCCCCCTTCCCCAGATCTGTATTTACTGAATGTAATTTTTTCTGCTCTGTGTATGATGATACCACTCAAACTCACCATGCAGCAGCTGCTCTGCATCCTCCATTCCTGGTGGCTAGTCCATCTGGTTACAGTTCCAACTGAAAGATGGGCTCATTCTCTCCCTTTCATCAAGGAAAACACTGTGCCATTTAATCAGCCTGATTTTCCCATCTATGAATCAGAGGAAGATAACTAGAAAACTCCCCATTCAGGTTTATTATGGAGGGTGGAAAATAATACCCTAACCACAAAATACAAGAAATGAGCTGTGAATCCAACAGAGATAAAATTTCTGGACAGTTGTGTTATCTTCTTCTTGTACTATAAATTTCCTTATAAGGCAAATGTGTCAAACTTGTGAAAAGTACTAGCACAAGGGCTGTCTCACTAATTGCTGTTGTTTTTGTTTGCTTTGTTTTGTTTTCATATTTTTATTTAATAAAGGTTTCTATAGGGATCCTGGTATGGTGCTGCAGGATGAGCACTGAATTTCTAACAGCAAGCTTGGCTGTTCAAATCCACCGGGTGGCTGCGTTGGAATTGACTTGACGGCACTTTTAAAAATGATTTTGTAGCAATACTTTTTTTCTAAAGTATTTTTTTTCTTTTTTACTTTGTATTGTGAATTGAGTGAAGGTTAACAAAAAGGTTTACTTTCAACCAATCATACGTTTTGTTTCATCTAAATGATTATAATCCTCTCCCTACAACAACAGTTAATTCTGCTTTCTCGCTGTGGCTTCCCTTTTACATCTTATTTTTCACAAATCATCAAAGCAAAAATATTTGATGTACATATATAAAACAAAAATATACATATTCATTTAAAGGTCCAAAGGGCACAATTAGCAAGCCAGCCTCCTGCCCACAGGCACACACAGCCTTACTAGGTCCATGGTCCTAGAGCTTACAGCTGCTCTATCTCTTCATGGCATCGCCTCTGCCACAGTCTCTGCTGTTGCTGCTTTTTCTAAGTGGGATTTCACGCTCCACTCATGCACTTCCTTCTTGATGGTCCTGGGATCCTCTGTTCCTGCAATGAAAGATTATCAACTCTACCTTTTTAGGTACACATCTTCTATAATTACAGTTGTGATCATCTCAGTTAATCCTGCTCACAATTGAAACATAAAATCCTATCACCATCATCCTCCATCCCCTTTTACCAGATCCATCTGGAAAAGAGGAAAATTATTCCGTGGGGATTCTACATTGCCCTCCTCATTCTGAAACTAAGCACACTCATGAAAGCTTATAAACCAGCCACTTCATGCCTTCGTAGCCACCCCCATTTTTTATTTGTTGTTGTTGTTAAGTGCCGTCGAGTCGATTCCGACCCATAGCGATCCTGTATAGGGTTTCCAAGGAGCAGCTGGTGAGCTTGAACCACCAACCTTGCAGTTCAAACGGTTTTACAGTCTGGTGCATTAACCCATAGCGCCACACCAGGACCCCATTTTTGATAGCCAGTGTTTAATTGTTGTTGTTGTTGTTATGTGCTGTCAAGTTGGTTTCAACCCATAACGACCCTGTATAGGATTTCTGAGGAGCAGCTGGTGAGCTTGAAACACAGACCTTGCAGTTCACACAGCTTTGCAGTCTGGCGCATTAACCCACAATGCCACAATGTTTAATTAGCTTATGTGTGTTGAGCACTTATGTATTACCTAACCTGATGTGTTACTGTGGGATAGTGCACTGGACCGCAAGGTTAGTTTGAAATACAAGGTCGGTGGTTCAATTTCACAGCCACCTTAGAAACCCTATACAGGCTTGAGATGAATTGGAACCAACTCGGAGTCACTTAACAACAACACTCTTCACAACAAACTGATATAACTGGTTCTCCTTAATCTTTGTAATTAGGTGCCATGCAGTAGGTTTAGACTCATAGTGACCTTGTGCACAACAGAATGAAATACTGCCTGGTCATGCACCATCTTCACAATTGTTATTTTTTAGCCCAGTGCTGCTGCCACTGTGTCAATCCATCTCATTTAAGGTCTTCCTCTTTTTCACTGACCCTCCACTTTACCAAGTGTGATGTCCTTCTCCAGGGGAATGGTCCATCCTGACAACATGCCCAAAGTATGACAGACGAAGTCTTACCATCTGGCTTCTAAGAAGCATTCTATTCTAGCTATATTTCTTCCAACACGGATTTGTTTGTTCTTCTGGCAGTCCCTGTTACTTTTACTATTCTTTTCCAACACCATAATTCAAATGTGTCAATTCTTGTACAATCATCTTTATTCATTGTCCAATTGTCACATGCACATGAGACTATTAACAATACCACGGCTTGGGTCAGGCGCACCTTAGTCCTCAAACTGACATCTTTTCTGTTTAATACTCTAAAGAAGTCTTCTGCAGCAGTTTGCCTAATGTAATACGTTGTTTGATTTCTTGACTTCTTAATGCTAAGATGGAAAGATGCTGAGAACCAGTAACAAGAATAGCAAAGAAAACTTCATTATGGAAGTGAAGTTTGAAACGTGATCTGAAAAACACATGAGAGTTTGCCAGGTGAATGAACAGCAACAAAGGAATTGGTTTGTAAACGTTCTGAGTAGTTGGGGTGGGAAGGAGGTTATTGGTTTTGATCCGGGTCGTCCTGATACCCCACAGGTAAAGTTTCTAGCCATTTCATTCTCTCCGGTACAAGAAACTGAAAATCCACATGACTTGCACAGAAGACAAAGTTCTCAAGAAATTAGGGTAGTCAGTGTGATTCTAGGGAGAGAAAGTCACTGTAGAAATTACAAAGACTGGCAGATACCCCGCCCTAGACTCTTAGAATGACATGCAGATGAAGAATTCCCTTAGGTCCTCGAGAAGAAACGCACGTCTGATTCAGAGCCTTTTCCTTTATCCTAAATACGAAGAAATGAGAGAAATAGAAACGACGGGCGTAGCAGGGAAGGAAATTCGCAAAACCTTAGTTCTTTTCGCATCGCTGACTGCGCATGCGCGCGCGCCGCTCCGGAAACAGAAGTGCAAATGCCAAGAGGTCAGGTTTGGTTTTCAAGATGGCGGCCTTCAGTGTGCTGGTGTTTGGATGTGGGCGGCTGCTCCGGGGGTTTCTGGTGGGCCCGGCCACAACAAGCTGGGCCAGGTCTACAACTCGCGGATTCCGAGAAGGTGAGTCCCGGGTCCCGACGACCTCCCTTGAGGTTAAGGAGAAGAGTAGCGGCGGTTGTCTCTCGCCAGTCCCTGTTCGCCCCGCCCTCCTTTTCCTTTGCTTGGTTCTGAAACGTTGGAGATGTTGGTGCCCTGGGGGTACTGAAAAACTGTACTAACCCTGGGGCTGTCAGCTTGACTGCCCGCCCCTTGTGAATGTCCTCACGAGGGAGAAAGGGATAGGAAGAAAGGCTTGCTTAGACTGTAAGAGCAGAAGAAAAAATTTTCCAAGGGTTAAGAAAATTTTCGATAAGGGTTTGCAAGTTAATTCTCCATTCCGTTTTCCTCGAACTGCTTCCTCCTTCTTTAAAGAATTACTGGAACGTCCTTTCCATTTTGTCTACTGAATATGCTGTGATCTAACAGCGGCTTCTTCTGTCCTTGCCTATAGTTTCTCTGACAGGTGGAGGTCACAGTGGAAAGTCCTTTGAATAGCTGAAACAGAGGCAAATACTGGGTGGTGGTTCTGCTTTTCAGAAAGGCGACCTGATTCCAGCACCAACTGAGAGCATACTGAAGGCCAAGAACTGAGAAAGAATTCTGATGGAAGAGAAAATACAACCTTTTTTAAGACACGCTTAGATGATAATGTATACGCTCCAATAAATGCAGCTTAAGCAATTACATGATCAAGCACAGGGAAAATTCTGTTACCAGAAACGTTTAGAAGATTTTGTAAAGGGGTGCATCTTGAGAAGGTTGTAAAAGAATGAAATCCGAGGAAGCGTGAAACGGTCTTTGAAACATAGCCTACCTTTGTGTATTGCTAGGAGCAAAAGGGAACCCTGATGTGGTGCTATAGAATAAGCACTGGACTGCTTAACCCAAGGTCGGCAGTTCAAACCCACCAGCTGCTCCTTAGAATCCCTATACAGGGTCACTATGAGTCAGAACAGACTCTGGCCCTTTACAACAAGAACAGGAGAAAGAGGAATCGTTGTATAGCACTATAGGATAAATACTGGACTGCTAACCATAAGGTTTGCAGTTCAAACTCACCAGCCACTAATTAAGGATATAGTTGAAGAAATGAAAACAGAAAATATGTTTGAAGAATTGAGATATGAAGGAGAGCGATAACATATACTAGAAAGAGCAGCGAGGTGCAAACACTGCCTGCTTAACATTTGATAATGTCAATAAGGAAAGACAAGAATGAAGTGTTTCATCTATTTCCATGCTGCAAAATAGGTATATGGCCATGTTTTTGAAGGTGTCTACCAAATGTCAAACAGTGGCTACAGTTTGCATACACTGTGAAATTCAAAGTGGAAAACAGTTCCCTGCTGTGTTCTCTGATAAGCAAGAACAGTTTTTTTTGTTTTTTTTTTTATGATAGGAATGCTTAAGCTTAGGCTTAAAAGAACTTTTTAGTTGGAAAGTGTATGAAATGATGAGCTACTTAACCAGCTGGGTCTCTGAAGTTCAACTTTAAATACTTAGGTTGTAAGCTTTTCTATAGGAGCTCTGGTAGCGTAGTGGTTACGAATCGAGCTACTGACTTCAGAGTCAGCAGTTCGAAACTACCAGCTGTTCCATGGGAGAAAGATGAGGCTTTCTGCTCCTGTAAAGATTTACAGCCTCAGAAAACCTGTACAGGGTCACTATGAGTTGGAACCGACTCCATGGCACATAACAACCAACCACCACCAAGCTTTTATATCTTATTTCAGACCAAACATCTGTTAGACTGCCATGAATGTGATGTTACATAAAGCCGTGTATCATCTTCTATACTCTACTTGAGAACCACCTTGTCTGCAGAACCTTTAAATGAGAAAAATTTACTTTGGATATTCTACCCATATTTGGTAAGGCATATAGTATTGCATGGTGCTATTGTTAAGTGCTGTCAAGTCATTTCTAACTTATAGTGGTCCTGTGAGAAGCAGCTGGTCAATTTGAACCACCAATCTTGTGATTAGCAATCCGTGCCTATCCTACAGCACCACACCAGAACCCCAAAGTATTGCATATCTATGACTAATTTTGCACTCTTGTCAGTTGGTATATTTGTCACTCAAGTAATATTGGTAAAAGCAGACCAACCTGGAGTGGCTAGAAGAACAGAAGATACCTACAGGAAAAATATAAAACAACATAGGCAGAGCGACTGTTACTACAAGAACAAGCAACATGCTTACCCAGGAAACATCAAGGCAAGCGGTCGGGTCCCCTCAGTGCAAACCCCCTTCCAAGACTAAGACTCAATGGGAATACACGCTGTGATTGGTGACCACGCTGAACACCAATAAAGGGAAGTGAGGGGAAAACAGCAATGAAGCGGTGAGCTAAGCCCTACAACATTCAATAGATTTCTGTGAACCTGGGTGAAGACCTGGTTGGCCAGCAGTGTGGTAAGACCTGGGGACTCTTGGGCCCAGAGTCAGTGACATAGCCACAGAGGACTAGAGCGGAGAGTGAAGTGTCCAGCTGATAAGAGAGGGCATATGCATAAGAACACCCATACTCACAGATAATACCCACTTGTCCTGGCTTCAATGACTGGATGATCAGAGCTCAACCAGAAGTAAAAAGAAGAGGGAAAAAAAAAAAAAGTATTCTCATACAATTTGATGAACTTGACCTACACCTCTGGAAGCAGTAACTCAAAAGAGGGAACAAGTCCTTACAGCAAGAATCATTCCCACCCCCTCCACACACAGAGTAGACAGGGATGGGCAACTGGGACATTGGCTACCCAAAATGGGGGGTGGGAGGCTACAAAGGCAAGAAGTGACTGGATTACAAGCTTTCAAGAGGGAACCTAGATCCAGAGGGCTTGGAGGAAGGTAGAATCTCCAGTGAGTAGTATTCAATCTGTCTAGGTGGGGCTTATGCAATGAAATACAGATGGGTCTCTTGTGATACAATAGTAATAATTGTTATCAGGACTGATTGTGAGGGTTGGGAATGTAAAGGTAGACGTTTTATAGCAAGGAGGGGAGTGATTAACTTTTCAGTCTAGGAGCGGAGGTCCCTAGGACCATCAAGGGAGAAGAGCAGAGACCGGGACCCTACCCAGAGAAACAGTGATGCCTGAAATGGAGGCAGAGATGATGACGTGGAGCGATGGAGCAGCTGGAGACTTTAGGTCCAGAGAGGGAGAGCAACCGTGTGCTGAAGACTTGAGGGGCACGGGGGAAGGATTGCATGGAGGGGATTGTAAGCATGGCAATGAGACGATATACGATAGAATGAATGTAAAACCAATGTTCTCCCATGTAAACTAGCACATAATTCACAATAAAACATTTAAAAACAAAAAAGTAATATTGGTAAGTTGTGAGAGGAAAGCTGGTTCTCTTGATAAAAATATTTAAGTATCCTATTTTCAAAGTGTTAGGTAATATTACTTAATTTTAGTCAAAGTTCTTGAAGACCGAGCACCAGTATCCTGCCTGGAAGGCCTTTCAGTCCAAACTCACAGTTCTTAACTGAAGGCAGTGTCTGGAGGTATTTTGGTACTACTAGCATCTGGTGGGTAAAAGCCAGGGATGCTGCTAAACATCTTACAGTGCACAGACAGCCCCCACAGCAAAGAACTATCTGACCCAAAGTGTTAGTTATGCCGTCATTGAGAAACCTTCGTCTCTCAAGATTACAAATGAGGGACACCCACCAAAGTAAAAAAAAAAAAGGCTATTAAGATTATGGAAGAAGCAAGACTGAACAGAACTAAACTGGAAATTTTAATTCAGTAAATACCTGCTACAAGCACTGTGCTAGGTTTTTTCATATATATGTATTCAGTGTTGTTAGTAATCCTTAAAAGTAGATATCACTGACTTCAGTTTGACAAATGAGAAAATCAGACCCAGAGAAGTTCAGTAGCTTGCCCGACATCGCATAGCTAGTAAGTGATGGTGATAGTGGTTGTGTGCCACCATGTCATTTCTGACTCATGGTGGTTTCGGAGGCTGTAAATTTTGTTCCACAGAGTAACTGAAAGATTTGAACTACTAATCTTGCGGTTAGCAGTCCAGCTCATAATCCTTTACGCTACCAAGATTCCTTCAGATAGTAAGTAGTGGAGTTGAAAGTAAAAGCAGCACTCTTCCTTCTCCCCCAGTAACTTCACTGTGATACCCTGGGAAAGAACCTCCATATTGTCCCCTCCTTGCCCTCGTGCTAAAGACCACTTAATTGCCTCTATTGTTGATGCTACCAGACCTTGCAAAAATTGCTTAGACCTGGTTCCTGCCTTGTTTTTCTTAGAACCCTTATGAAAGAAATGTATTCAAAATAAGAAAAATAAATGATTATCTGATTTAACAGTAAAGCTGGATCAGGGACAGCAGAGTATGTTGAGTAAACCTAAGGGATTTTGCTTCATCTCTTCCTGTTAGCTAAGGAAGCACTAGCATCTCAGATAAGAATATGCCAGGTAGGGTGGTCAGCCCTATGGCTAAAAACTTTGAGAAAGAAGGAAGTGAGTTGAGGGCTTTAAATCATTCAAGACATATACTCCAGAATAACCTGCTAATGGAAAGACACTTTTGTGCACAATAAGCTACAATGCTGTAAGCCATGCTGTCTGTTTCAAATACCAGCAGAGCCCCATGATAGACAGTTTAAGATAGACTAGGAAGAAAGGGTTGGTGTTCTCCTTCTGAAAATTAGACCATAAAAACCCTATGGATCACATCAGAGTATTGTCCAGTACAGTACTGGAGGTTGGTGGTTCAAGTTCACCCAGAAACACCTCAGAAGAGAATCCTAGAGATCTGCTTCCAAAACATCACAGCCTTGAAAACCCTAGGAGCATTTCCACCTGGTACACATGGGGCCACCGTGAGTCAGAATCAGCTCTACAACACCTAACAGCCTATTGCTGGAAGAGGAGACTTGCAGGTTGGAAAGCACTCAAACTACATGGGCACCTCCAGCAAACGCAGGCATATCAGTGATCATGGGGATGGTGCAGGACCGGACAGTGTTTCATTCTATTGTACGTGGGGTCGCCACGTAAGTCAGAGCCAACTGGACAGCAGTTTGCAATAGCTTGCTACTGGAAAGAGACTTCTATACCAATAATACTCCTAATTCTGAATTATAGTGGAGAGGGACATTTCCTCGGAGGACCAAAGGAAAAGGATGTTGTTGTTGTTGTTAAGTGCTGTTTAGTCGGTTCCGACCCATAGCGACCCTGTACAGGGTTTCCGAGGGTGTAAATCTTTACGGGAGTAGAAAGCCTCATCTTTCTCCCGCGGAGCGGCTGGTAGTTTCAAACCGCTGACCTTAAGGTTCGCAGCCCGATTCGTAACCACTACGCTACCAGAGCTCCTTAAAGGAAAAGGATTGTTGTTGTTGTTGTTAAGTGCCATCGAGTCGGGTCCGACCCATAGCGACCCTGTACAGGGTAGAGGCAGGTAAAAAGGAAAGTGTTCATGGAAGACCTAAAAACTGGGATAGAATTAAACATGAACTAAAAGGAGTCCTGGCATGGCGCTGTAGGATAAACATTGGACTACTAGCCTCAAGGTTGGTGATTCAAACCACCCAGCTGCACCTGGAAACCCCATGTTGTTAAGCGCTGTTGAATTGGTTCCAATTCGTAGTGACCCTGTATAGGGTTTCCGAGGAGCAGCTGGTGGGTTTGAACTGCTGATATGTGTTGGAACTGACTCAGTGGCACTTAACAACAAAGGGAACAATGCTGGCAGAGTTTGAGAAAAGTAGTCAGTAGTCAGAAACAGACACGTCACCTCTCCATCCCCACCTTCACCTCTCACCTGCAACCCTACACAAGACTTGGTGCCATCTTCTGTTCATTCTTCTGCCACTCCATTACTCCATTCCTTCCTCTTGGTTTCCATAGTCCTTTCCAGAGACCTGTTCTCTGGGCACTTCCTGCAGCAGCACATCCTATTCCTGACCACTCGTCTTTCTTTGCTTCCTCTGTTATGAAGCAGTTGGGTCTTTCTACCACTACAGTTCATTGTGTCTGTGTTTATGTGACCATGAAGATCATGAGTTCACCACAATCACACCACAATGCTGTTTGCTCCAGAGCCTAGTAATTCAGTTTTCTTGGATTCTATCCTAGGGCAGTATTTACTGAAGTACTCAAAGGACCTCTTTACAAGGCATGGAGTTTATTATAGTCAGCTTCCCAGGGTTGTTTTAGTTTTCCTTCTTCCTCCAGGGCAAAGACTGTCTTCCAGTTCAACTCTAACTCTTCACTGAAGGCAGAGTGAGGTTCTCTTCTCGGTTGGTGCCCAGCAAACGTGTTGCCTCCTTTGGGACAGATTATTTGATATGTATGACAAGTGTCTGTCTTGAAAGAGTTTGGCCCTTAGTTCTGGTTTGTAAATCTTCCTCCTGTCTTTCCTTAGTTTAAAGTCTCAGATGCAAGAGTGCTAAACAAGTTTTCCACTAGTGGCTGTAGCTCAGAATCTAGCTTCTCCTTGCCACCACCACCACCCCTCACTTGACTGAGAAATAAATGGTGGAGAGGCCAGGGATAGAGTGGATCTCAGGTTTTGTTTGGTTTTGACATGTTTTTGTATGCACACTGAAAATCAATACTATCCTGATTGCTATCTCCTGTTTTCAGAGCCAGAGAATCCACCAGGGCCACCCCCCTTCCACAGAGACACCACCCTGATCAATCTCAGTCTCTAGTGAGTTCTCCTGTCAGGCCCTCTAATTTAACCAATTGTTTCTATGAGATAAGCATCTGCCAATTGTTTTACCCATTGGCTTATAGTAAGAGGATTCACTGGCTCAGAGTTGTTGTGTGGGGAGTTTGTGAACAGTGGAGCTTGCCATGGACTTTGATCTCTCTTCCAGAGCCCAGTGGATGACTTCAGGGTTTGGTTCTTTGCCGGGAGTGATGTGTGCTTTGTTATACTTGTTTACCTCATGGTTAGGACCCAAGTGCCTCCACCAAGAGGGGAACCACATGTTTATCCTCTCTGTTTGGGGCATTGTTCTTGTGCTGACTCAGTGGGACCAGAGTGCGGCCTCCTGTATCATTTCCTGTTGTAATGCTCAGAAACCTCCTCCCTCCCTGGTGGTTATGTTCAGGTTTGGTCACCCTCAGTCCCTCTCCCAGCTTGAGTTCTGCAGATTGGCAGTTTCCAGAAAGTTTGTCCGACTGCTCTCCCAAATTTGTAGGCCATGTCTTCAGATTGCAGACTGACACATTGCAGTGATGGATCCTCCCCAGCTGCACTGGCTGCTAGACTGAGGACCAAGCTAAGTCTCACTCACATCCCGTTCTTGGGCTAGTCTGTTCAGTAAAAGTAGATCCGTGTGTGGGGTGAGGCATTTCTTTTCTATGGAGAAATATAGTTTGTCTTTGAATTGATGAGTGGCTACAGTGTTCTCTGAAGAAAGCCCCAGGGCTTTTCTGATCCTTGTTACTCCTTTGTGGGCTGGGGGTTGGACCTGAAGGAACCCTCAGGTTGGTTGGTTTGGAGTAATGAGTCTTTATGAATGGCCTTGCCCAGAAAACAAACAGGAAACTATGCCAGGTGTCTGTGTCCAATTTGGTGTTGGTCACAGAGCTCAGTGATCACAGATGCTGTCATGGGCCTCCAGTTAGGTTAGACTTGCCTCACTCTTTTTCCTTAGATGTTCTGCTTTTTTTTATTTTTAATTGCAAAAACAGTACGTGTATATTTTAGAGACTTTAGAAAATACAGATAGGAAGACTAAACTAAAGACATTAAAATCACCTACTGATACCACATAAAACAAAAAGACATTAAAATCACCTACTGACACCACATACAGGAGAAGTAACCTGAACCAACAATGTGGCTTCAAGGGCCTGTGATTCTCCTGAAGTCTTCACATCATTATGCTCAGGGATGTTTCTCTAAAGACAAGTCCATAGCTTTTGTGGGGTTATCAAAGCTAAGAGCCAGGACCTCTTTATCACTTTCTCATCAGTTCTATTTTTGCCTTTGCCAGACCTGAGTAAAACTGAATTCTAGTGGCCCAGCTGACATTAAAATATGGTGTCAGGATTTGGGGAGACAGTTTGCAAGCTAGCTACTCGGGCCTAAGTCCTCTGTTACTGTAATTAACACCAGGAGAGGGCCATGACAATGTTTGTTCCTAAAATTAAACTTGAAACTCGTTGTTCCTTATTAAATGGCTGACCTCATTTTTCCTCTTTATCTTTGTAGTGGTGGAGATTCAAGAAGGGAAGACGACTATAGTAAGTACGGCCGAGTTGGCCACTCCTAACCTCTTTAACACTTGGAGCTGCCTGGCTGCTCCTCTGAGGAAGGGATGGTGACCCAAACTGGACTCCTGGCCCCATAACCATCTCCCTCTGTGACCATAAATCAAACAGTCCTTTCTCTAGCTGTGTGCTCTAGTGCAGTTAATCAGGAACTGTCACTGGGCCTGGACTGTGGCATTCGTTACTTGATTCAAGTGGCCTTTGGATGCTAGGGTCTCAGAGGCCTTTGCTGATGTGTTCTTTGGTCGGTGATAAATCAGTTTCCCAAAGGAGAAACTAAGGCAATGGAAGACCCCAAGAGCTAGAGGAAGTTGATCCCAGGCTAGGACCCTGGCCTCTGTTCCTTTACCTTCTGCCAAGAATGACTAAGCTTCTCCTTGAAGTGATGCAGTTGGAAGGTGAAACCCTCGGGTTCCCTGGCTGGTCTATTGACAAGAAGCCCACCCCCTGCCCCTTTCTCTCATTGAGTCCTTCTTACTTCCCTTCCTCGAGGAGTCATGGGGCCTGGATTATCCTACAATCCTTAAAAGACAGTGGCATTTTCACATGGTCTTGTATGCCTCCAAGGAATCCTCAGCTACTCCACTGAGCGCTCAGAAGCCTCTAGCTGCTATCCCAAGCAGGGATTTAATCCTTTTGGCTGCCAGCCAAGTTAGTCCTCCCCAAGGCAGTCTTATCCCCAGGGCAGGCTCAGAGGGTTCCCTCCTTGGGTCTTCCCCAGAATACTCCCTCAGCCTTTTCACTACTTAGCCTCAAAACACTTCTCTCGTCTTGAGGACCTAAACTCCATGCTGGAGGAAAGAGATCTTCCTATATGGTGGGAGTCTGCTGTTTGTAGAATGGGCTCCGGGACAGTGTGGCACTGTGGAAGCCCCAGGAGAAGAGATGAGCACCCTTCCTTGCCCAGAGAGGTGCTGCCATGGTTGACCCTGAGTGTTAATCTCTGGGGGTCTCATTGTGCCTACCTCACTAGGTTGTGGGAATTTAATGAGATGATACTTGTGAGCTGTTATTAGTACAGAGCCAGATACAAGGGGACTTCACAAAGTTTGTGGAAAACATTCATTATCTTTCCATTCCATTTTTCCACAAACTTCAAAATAACCTCTCATATGTAATGGGAAGTCAGAAACCTATGTAAACCCTCTCTCCAAGCCCTGCCACGCATCTGCACATTTTCTCTATCCCGCGAGTCACTCTGGTTGCTGTGGAGAAGGGTAGGTGGAGGCGCCATGCCCAGCCAGCCCTGCTCTCCCAGTGGACAGTGGTGCTTCCCAGCCACACTCCATAGCCCACAGCTTCAATCAGCAGGGCCTGCTAAGCTCCCCCTCTTGCCAAGGCTTTGGCACGGGAGACAGAGACTACCGGCCAGCAACAACAGGGCGGTCCTTTCGCCTGTGGCCTCAGCAGGGTTTGAAGAGTGGCATCCAGAATGATAGAAGCCAGAACAGGACTGGATCTTCCCATTGGTAAAACAAACAAACAACAAAACACACAGAGATGTCTCCTCGTCCATATGGATACTGCTTGTACAGGCATAGACCAAGGTTTTCCCACCTTGGCACTATTGGCATTTAGGACTAGATAAGTCTTTGTTGTGGAGACAGTCTTGGTCAACACCCGCTCACTACATGCCAGTAGCAAACCACCATCCTGTCTCAGTCATCGCAATAATAATGAAAACTGTCTGCAGGCATTGCCAAATGTCCCCTGAGGAGCAAAATCGCTAGGATTGAGAGTGACAATCCCGCATATACAGGTCTCTCTAAGGCTCTTAAAACTAAAGTGCAGTTTCATCTGAGGAGATTCTTTGAACCCTCTGGGCCTTTGCCATTTGAAACTTGATACTAGATACCTGTATTAGATACCTGTATTATTTTTCCAGAGATGGAAGGGGAAGAAATCTTAATGTTTGGCACATGTTTTTGTTTTATAATTTTAAGGAATAAAAGGTAGTATTTAGCTAATGCAGCAAATCCTCCCTCTTGCCACCAAGATTAAGTTCAGACTGTTTCCACTATGCCTACAGTCCACTAACCCATAGCCCCGTGGCCATCCAGGCCCACATCAGTTTAGGCAAGAGACCTAAACCCACAAGACCCCCGGAGATGAACTCTCACCAGCATTTCCACTATTTGGGGGTTTGTTCAGAATACACTGGCCCTCCCCTTCACTGGTTTGCTTTCTATCCTCCTAGATCGAAGGCCACATCACCGGGACTCCCAAGGAGAGTCCAAATCCCCCAAACCCCTCTGGCCAGTGCCCAATCTGTCGTTGGAACCTGAAGCACAAGTATAACTATGAGGTGAGTGTGCATGTCTCAGAGCTTGTCTCCCTGGATAGTTTGAGCCGTGTTCTCCTTTAGCCACTGATGCATGTTGGGGAGCCACCAAAGACAGAAGCATTTCATCCAGGGCTTCTCAGTCCTCACTACCTGTTACAGTCACAAGGGAGCTGTCACAGAAATGCTTAAGCCCCACCCCTGGAGATTGATACATTGGTCTGGGGTGGAGCCTGGGCTCCTTGTTTTATAGAACTTCTCCAGTCATTCTAACTTGCAGCCAGAATGGAAAGCCACTTTGAAATCCCAGGGTATTGCAAATGCTTAAGCACTCAACTTCTAAACTGCAGGGTTAGAATTCAAACTCACTCCCAGAAGCACTCAGAAGAAAGGCTTGGCGGTCTCCTGAAGAAATCAGCCATTGAAAAGCCTGTGGAGTGCAATTCTGCCTGACACACACAAGGTCACCATGAATTACAATCGACCTGAGAATTTTTTTACTCTATTTTATTTTTGATTTGGGGGGCAGAGATACTGTTTTTGTTTTGTTGTAATTCGGCAGTTTGGTTACTGACCCTGTAACCCATCCTTTCTGGGGCTGTGTTCTCAAAGGGATGGAATCTTGATTTGGGGTTGACTTTTTCCCATTACAGTGAGAAAGGATGTATTTGAAGAGACTCTTAGTCCTTGCTGTGGTCTAAGAACACATGGTTGTCTCTCCATACTGGAGCAACAAAGACTCCTGATTGTTCTGGCTTTCCTAGAATTGCTGTTTCCCCGGGAAGTAGAGGATAGTGAATGACTGCCATAAGTGACATGCTTGGAGTGCACACATGTGTCAGGCACTTTGTGGGTACTTGCATGCCTTCATTTACTTCGTTTGTCCAACAGCCCTATGAATTGGCGGCTTTTTCCAACCTCTTTTGTAGATGTGGACATGTGAGGCATGAAGAGGTTGGTTCATTTGCCTTGATTCACCCAGTTAGTTGGCATCAGAGCTGGGGTACAGACTCCAGAAATAAAAAGCCCAAGCAAAGCAGCCCCCACATTGCTGGCTCCTCTGTACATCTTCTGGATACAGGGAGGGCCTGGGGAAAAAGTAAAGCGTAGAGAAATCCATGCTTGTTCTCCTGAGTTCTCATTGGTGACATCGTTGTTGTTAAGGGCCATCAAGTTGGTTCCAACTCATCGTGCTCCTAGATAGGGTTTCTGAGGAGCGGCTGGTGAGTTTGAACTGCCTACCTTGCAGTCCCGTGTTTATCCTACAGTGCCACACCAGGACTTCTGGATGTTGACATTAAGCACCCTGTCTTTGGGTTTCAGGTGATTCCAGCTCTGGGCCAGTTTGACCTGCAGTGTGTCCCTGGTCCACCCTGTGGAATGGGATGACTAAGGACCTCTAGCGATTCTGGCTAGGCAGGAAGAGCAGGAGGGGCCATGTGCCCCTGGAATCCGAACAGAATGACCCAGTTAATCTCCTGAGCCTGGGAGCCTTGGCTTCACGCCATCTGTGGGCAGGGATGAAGGGTCTTCTGCTCCATCCCAGGGTCCTTCTGCTGATGACCGACCGCCTGGAGTGAAAGAAAGCTTAGAGGCAACAGGATATAGTTCATAGGCTTCTATGGTATAGAAGTGAGCAGGGTTGGGGCATACTTGGAATTGAGGTGGCCAATGGGGATGTGAGTCCCCACCTGGCCAGCCACCATGAGCCACTCTACCTACCAGCCGTTTCCAGGAAACGTATTGGGCACTGTTTATCCATCAAAAGAAATCTAATCCCCTCCAAGGTAAAGGCTAAAGTTGTTTTTCCTTTTACCCCTTTCCACTCAGAGCACCATTAGCCTGAGCTGCATAAAACTGTCAGCTTGCTTGGCAGCCCAAAGTGGGGGCTGGGGCTGTGAGCACCGTTTATAGTTGTTGTTATGTGCCATGGAGTTGGTTCCAACTCATAGCGACCCTGTTACAGGGTTTCTGCAGAAAGCCTCATCTTTCTTCCGCGGAACAGCTGGTAGTTTCGAACTGCTGACCTTGCGGTTTGCAGTCCGATTCATAACCACTATGCTTGCTACAAGAGCTCCTTAGCCCTGGATGAATCCAATCCAAGTTCTTTTCATCAGATTCTGAAGAGTACAGGGGTGGGAATCGGGGGCCTGGGTCCCTCAGGAGCTGTCCAGTGATTAAAACAAATCTGCGGTTAGCTGGCGAGGCTCCTCCAGGGCAGTAAGTCAGCTTCATGAAACAGGACTGCTGAGATGGCCTGCCAGGCTCCTGGGGGTGAGTGGGTGGGGGTGGAGTGGGGAGTTTTCTTTAACCCCCTCAGTACTTTTAAGGCATGTTTAAAGAATGTGAGAGTTAGGAGGAAGGTGGTCTCTTATCTTGATTCTGACTCAATTCATTCTTGACTCCTGTAAAGCAGCCTGGTGGGAATATGATGGTCCAATGGAAGGCCAAGAACCATACACATCTCTCCTGAGATAGGAGGTGAAACCTACTGTCTTTCTTCATAACACTGTTCCCTTCCTTCTCCATGAGTAGGCCTGCCAAGCACTTGGGAGGGATGAGCAGAAGGTGCAGGGGCTGTCTGCATGTGCTCTGGCCTGTGGTGTGTAGTCTTTGGGGACTGAAATGATGCAGGGTGTCCCTCTTGGGGAAATTTATGACATGCCCTTTACCCCACCCAAGGAGATTAATTCAGCCTTCCTTCCCTCACCGGGAAAGATACTGCAGGTGCGGAACAGATTGTTAACACTTCTTGAGGAGTTTCTTTTTGCTAACCCAGTCTGTCAAAAGATTGTCTCATGATCTGGCACAGAAAATCTTAGTGCTAGTGGCATTTAACTCTTGTTAGGGTGGAGGTGGCAGACCCAGGCACACAGCTCTGCTTGAAGGGCTTGGTCCCAGGTACATGCCCAAGAGAGATGCCAGCACCTTTCAGAACTGAGATGCAGATGCCTCCCTTGGAAACCAAGCTGTCCTTCATCCCCACCTTCAGAATCCAGCCCAGGTGACCCTGGACTCTTTCTATTCTCTGCTTGTTTTCTCTTTCCACTAGGATGTCCTGCTGCTAAGTCAGTTCATCCGGCCACACGGAGGCATGTTACCCCGAAGGATCACAGGTCTGTGCCAGGAAGAGCACCGCAAAATTGAGGAGTGTGTGAAGATGGCCCACCGGGCAGGTAGGAGCCCCCTTGGGGCTGAGGGCAGCAAAGGGCTGAAGGACCCATCTCCCCACCAGCTGTCCCTCATAAAAGAGAAGTCGACACCCAGAGTCTTGAAATGAGACTCACCCCACCTGCTCATCCCTTGACTTTCCTTCTAGCCCCTTAAGAGTGCTGTGGGAATTGAAGGCCATCCTTTTCCCCACTCTTCCCTTCCCCACAGGTCTGTTCCCAAACCACAGGCCTCAGCTTCCTGAAGGGTTTGTTCCCAAGAGCAAACCCCAGCTCAACCGGTAAGCACACCCCGGTGTCAACAGCCTGAGTGTTCTGTGGGCTCACAGCTCCTCTCCCTGCATTCCGCGGAGAAGCCATTTGCGAGAGCTAGGCACCACTCAGGAAAACTGGAGTATTCTTGGCCACTCAGTTCATTTCTCTTCAGCTGAGCATCCCGCCCCCATCCGTCCAACACTGCTGCAGCTCATACTACACACTCTGTCACCCGCCCTGCTGGCCTCTGCCTCTGTCTCCCTCCCTCCCCACTAAGCCACTCAGCACAGGGCAAAGAGGGTAAGCAGGCCTGCTCTGCCGATTGGGTGTTAGAAAGTGCTAACCCGCTGTTGATGACATCACGTTGGGTTGCTCTGGGGATGTCAGAGCACTTGTACAAACTTTTAGTATCCCAGCTCTCTCTGGTACTTGGTTTCCAAAAGGATAGAATGAGGTCTTAGAGATGGGAGTTCTGGGGCAGGGCTGCCGTACACTACTATGCAAGTCATGCATGCAACAGCTTCAGGGCGGCATTCATGGAGCTGCACAGATAACAACCTACACAGCGGCTCGCGGCGGCCTGGAAGTCCTGAGGAGAAGGCCCACAGACCCTGGAAACAATCACAGTCTGCGCTCTAGCCTACAGATGGCCCCTCGAGAGGGAGCAGATTCCAATCTAACATTCGGGCAGCCATCAGATTTGCATTCACACACTCCTAGATCTTTAATGTCCTTGAGATATTGAATATAGATCCACATCTATAAAGCTGATTTGGGGATTTCTTCTTGTTCCCCTGTACCAGTAGTCTCTGGTTCCGTTGGCCATTCCCAGTCAGGAGAGAGGAAGATGAAACTGTTCTCTGTAGGAACCAAAGACGAAGCAAAGCCAAACACCCTGCCTCCAGCAAGCTAGCCACCTAGGTCCCTAAGTATAGAGGGGTGAGGCCAAGTGGGTACCAGCCACACACTGCTGAACTGGGGCTATAGGAGGTGAAATGCTGGGCCTTCACTAAGGCCTCACCAGCACCCTGGCCTTGTGCCCACCTCCACCTGCACCTCCCACATTGCCAGCTGGGCCATCTGCCAGCAGCCCTGGAAGAGCAGGACATATTAACCTCTTCCTGTCTCTCCCATTTGTGATGTGGACCATTTGGGGTTGAATGCTCCGCCCCCCAAGTCTTTACAGCAGGCAAGGCTGAGGATACAATCCATCCCCGCCTTCAGGCCTTTGAAGCAAGGCCAGGCGCCCTCCCATGCATCTGGTGTCCTTTAACGTGACATGGGATTGATGACGTGTGGGGGCTCTTGGGTTGCAAAGGCCATCCTCGGGGAGGGTAGTCCAGGCTCTGAGGGAGATTGATTCTTTTGTGATTCTACCCGGAGGTCCTTGAGTTGTCATGCACTGGCTCAGGCTCATCCGGGTTGTGCTGTCCTGCGCGCCCCTCCTCCCTGCCCCCTGCAGGAGAGGTAGGAAGGACACAGGGTGCTTTCTAGAGCTGGGTGTTCCCAGACAGCCAACTAGAGGTCCCCAGCCAGCCCACCTCCTGCCTGCTGGTTGCTCCTTGTGGCATAGGCATTGGGCTAAAGTTAGCTGGAGCCTAGATTCCCTCTGGGACATGGGGCAGAGAAAGGCTCGAGAGCCTAGGCAGCTTCAGAACCTGCTTGGACCCTTGAATCCCACACCCCATCTTCACTTGGCCCCATTGAAGGCTGGGTGATGCCAGCTAAGGTGCTTCCCGGGTCTTCCCTTCCAGTGCCTCAACTGGCCTGCTGTCCTTGCACTACCAGTTAGAGAAAGCTGTATCTGGGCCTGTGCACTCCACAGACGGGCCCCTGTTGGACATTGAGATCCACACCAGGAGGCCTCCCCTCCTGCCTAGCCACACTTGATGAGCAGGCCAGCACCTCCTGAGGCTTCTTTGCAGAGCTGTGCCCTCTGCACAGGCCTGAGGAGTTGAGATAGGGCCCAGGGAACTCAACTGTAGGAATTAACACTCATCTTTCTTTTTTCAAATGGGAAAAACTCTCATTTGAGGGTCTGCAAGGCAACTGGATTGAGCCCCAACCTAGTGTGGCTACAAGGGAAGATGACTGGCCTTTGCTGAGCTTACGGGGCAAAGGATGGGCCGGCCTCTGGACAGCATCCAGGTTTCACTCTGGACCGAATAAAACCCAATCCCAGCCGGCATGAGCCACTTTTCCAGGAACTATCAGGGCCTGACCATCCCCAAAGGAGGCCAAAGTACCATGGGTGTCAGCCATCTTCCCTGCCCCCCTTCTGCTTACAGGAACCTTCCTGGACTAGGTCTGTACTCATGAGCCTCCACCCCTTGGCTTCTATCGTGGGTTGAGTGAGGGTCAGGGGTCCTACACAGGTTACAGCTACCCAGGGGAGAACCCCAAAGACTGGGGAGCCTGGGGCTGAGTGAGCCAAGTGGGGAAGAGCAGAGGGCTCCTCCAGGCCTGACATCAGTTTCTCCTCTCCCCACGGCCAGGCCAGAGGGAATGCTCTGCTCTGCAGCAGCTCTTCTCCTGCCTCCTCCCACAACACACAGCAACACTGACCACTCAAAAGATCAAGGAAGCGCGTGGCCCTGGGCTGCCTGTCGGCCCTGACCCCAGCTACACACACTTGTGGCCGCAAAAGCTCTCAGTGGTTACTCCAGGAAATGCCCCTACCCTTGGAGAAAGGGTTTGCTTGCTTGGCCAGCTGCTGCTTAAACCCAAAGAGGCAGTGCCCTACTCTCCCCATTCCAGCATGGGTCCCGACCTCACCCCTCCTTGTCCCTCCTCCACAGGTACCTGACCCGGTGGTCTCCCAGGTCCGTCAGACCCATCTACAATAAAGGCCACCGCTGGAATAAAGTGCGCATGGCTGTAGGGTCACCCCTGCTGAAGGACAATGTCTCCTACTCAAGAAGACCTTTGGTGCTCAATCACTGACTGAGAGCTTCTGGGCTTCCTGAGGACTTGGCCCAGGCCCTACAGCACCTCCACTGAGCCAGCGCTCAGCCTCTCCTGGACTTGAGGCCACATGGGCATGCGTCCTCAGCCTGCCCACCAGGCTGTGGGACCCTAGGCAGCTGCTGGGCTACGCTCAGGGCTGGGGAACAGTTTTGCCAGAGAAATGTTATAAACCAGGTTTATGTGTTTACCCAGTGGGTATGTGTCAATGCTTGGGCTTTGGTCCTGTTTATAGCTGACTTCTGAACAAAGTCACTGTCCCTTGTGAAGGGCCACATGAATTGGAGGGTGTCCACAACCTTAGGTTCCTGTCCTCTTTATTGACAGCTGGATGCCCTTTAGTCTCGGGACTCCATGGAGGAGGAGAGTTGGGGTCCCTGGCCCATATGCAGCTCATCTGAGGCCAAGAAGCTGCTGCCCTCAAAGGGCCCCCATTTGTCACCTGCAGCCATTTCCAGTCCTCTTCATCATGTGGCATCTCTCCATGTTAACACTTCTCATGTTAACACACTCCAATCCTCTGCCTCCTCAAAGCCAGGACACCAGACTGAGGCAGGGGGTCCAGCGGGGGTGTGTGCAGAACAGAACAATAGACCAGGCTCAGGGAAGTTTACGAAAATAACATTTTGATTCTTTACATCAAAAATTACCAGGCTGACCCCCATCCTATAGCATGAAGGGCAAGTCTATGTTCTTCTCCCCAGTGCCCACGTAGATGTAGCCATAGTTCTTGGTGTGGGGAGCATGGTAGAAGGTGAGACCTGGCCAGAGCAGGCTGCGCAGCACAACCAAGGCGTTGCCCCGCTCCATCTGGATGCTCCAGGACCCTAGGGGAGCGGGAAGCAGGTGAGGCCTGGCTACTCTGCAGAGGCACTGCGTCCTCAGGCAGCCAAGCCCATATGCTGAGCTTCCACGGGAAAAGGGGAGACAATTTAATTATCCAGGCACTTTCCTCCTCCTGATTGCCACTTAGCCATTTCACTGCTCATTAAACTGTCTTCTAGAGGGAGGGCAAAGGAAATGAAAGAGGTGAAAAGCAAACCAGTCCGTTTTGTTCCTGTCAGCAAGTCTAGTAAAGGTTGAGTGGGGGAGGAGGCTGAATCCATGGCCCGTTGGACTGGAGCGAGACTCCAAACTTCCCCCAACACACAAACATACATAACCCTTCTACCCTGCCCTGGGTTTGCCCCCAGGATGCCATTTTGCTCTCTGTCCGAGTCCCAAAGCCCTTTGCCCTGAGATGGATTCAAACAGACCAGGGGCTGGAATAGGGGTTTGGCCACTTAAGCCTCCCAGCTCAATGGCCCTTGCTGGCAGCTAGACTGGGAGCCATTCTTGGCGGGAGGGGACTTGGGCTGCAGCTAATGAGCTTTTGTCTTCACTAGGTTCTGCCCTGGATTTTATTCCTCCAGACAGGAGAAACCCAGCCTGGGGCTGAGTTGTGCAGCGCTGAGGACTTGGCGGCAAGGGTCTGATCCAGCTCCAGGTCTGAGGGAGGGAGCCACTGTGTGGGAGGAAGGAGCCTGGGAAGATCTCCTCTGGATGCAGATCTGGAGCTTGTATTCCCCTGTGCACCAAGGCCTCTCCCAGCCAGCCGCAGCTCTGCTCACTGCCTGCCAGAAAGGCCGATGCTTTGAAGGTTTTGGTATTGGACCAGCCAGCGATGCACTGAGGGCTGCTTGGAGGCCTTCATCAGCTGCCAGTTCAGCCCTGCTGCTTTGCTCCTGCCGCCTCAGCTTCCCACAGGCCTCCTCCAACCATGGCCCACCCTGGTCACTCCACACCCAACAGCCTCACATTCAGTCCCCACCCACTAGGGCCACCCCATATTCAAGAGACCTGGCTGCAGGGAACCCCAGACTGTGCAGCAGCTCAGCTCTGTTCAGGGTGTAATCACCTGCCCTCATGGGAGTTTGAGAGGCCCTGGCTTGCTGCTCCCCTTGTCACTCATCAGCCAACGTTGCCTGGGGGGAGGTGTGACTGAACACGGTGTTCCCAGTACCGGCCTTGGCAAGGTACCACTCCCCAGTGCTCCCTTAGTCACCCCCACCAGGACCCAGAGCATCCTCTTACAGACAGGCCCACCCCACTCATGGAACCCTTGAATTGGGAAGGTCAGGCTCTGCCTTGCTCCACTGTCTACCCAGGGAGGGCTGCCAGAGCCACAGGCTGCCCTAGAGCCCCTACCTAGACCATTAGCTGGTCGAGGGTCACCAGAACCTAGACAAGGGCTGAGTCTCATCCTGCCCTCAATGCCAGTCCACCCTTGTCTCCAGTACATAAGGGGCATCGGTGGGGAGCAAGGAGGAACTGGCAAGCATGCTAAAGAAATGCAGTGCTCAGGCAGGGGAGCAGGCCTAGGGTGCCGGCAGAGGAGCACGCTAGCTGGCATGTGAGGGGCTGCCAGCCGGCACTGCCTCCCTCCCTCCCTTGCATTCCCGTCACACTTCCATCCTCCTCTCTCTGTCCCTGGCTCAGCTGGTCGCCCAGGAAACACACAGACTCTCAACGTGCCAGGAGTCACGTAGCGTCTACCTGGGGAGCAGGGCGCTTGCTGTCACCTTCACCCACTTTTCTTATTGCAACTGCTGCAAAGGCTGGGCCCAGCCAGTGCTGCGTGCTCTAGGGCTCTGGGGGCAAGAGGCCTCCTGCAGCCCCTGTGTTTCAGTTCACGGTCCCTAGGGCCCATCTCCCAAGTCTCCCCAGACACCACCCCCAGCACCCCAGCAGCCACTCTTCTCCAGAGGATGTATTTGGGGGACAGGCCAGTAGTCAGGAGTATAGGACCTGCTGCAGTTGGTAGGGAGTCCTCCTGGGGTCTCCTACCCACCTTGCTAGGGTGGGATCCTCAGGCCTAGATGTTACTTCTCATAATTGCATTGTCCTGCCTCCAAGGAAGAAAGGCAGCAAAGCTCTGATGAAAATTTGAGGGAGGGAGTGGGCCAGGCTGGGGACCAAGGCTAAGAAAGGGCAGCCATTAATCTTGTTAAGTGCTGTCGAGTTGGTTCTGATTCATAGCAATCCTGCACAGGGTTTCCAAGGAGTGTCTGGTGAGTTTGAACCACTGACCTTGAGATCAAGTGCTTATCCTATGGTGCCATACCAGAACTCCAAGAAAGGGCAGCAGAGATGACTTAAACCCTATCCTCAGACCAGTGCCACGTGACGTTACCCAAAAAAACAGCCATAGGTCCCTTTCCTCAGAACAGGTACCCCTCCTCTGTGCTATAAAGTAGAGTCAAACCCCTAGTGGCCAGGGGGCAGATTTCTGTTTGACGCAGAGAGGAACAGGACCAGGCCCTATCATGCAGAAACTCACACACCCTTTGGCCAAACTTCCAAAGGACTGGGATGGGAGGAGCTATCTGCACCCCCTCCTACAAGAGAAAGCTGATCCTTCTCCTTCCAACACCCCAGTGTCTTTGACCGCCTCCCCAACTCCCACAACCATAAAGGCCACTTTGTCCACAGCCAGGCCCTATGCTGCCCTCTGCTGTCTGAACTGGGAGTTGCCACTAAGAGCTTACTTGTGATGAAGTCCCATGGTCCTGGGCTTGGCGGCTCCCTCGGACCTCAGCTGTGCAGGACCACAGTAGAGCAGGGACGGGAGTTCTGCCCTTCAGTCCTCCCATGTGCTGCCTTTCTTGCTGCTCTCTGCCTACCCCTCTCTGCTTCCCAGGACACCAGTGACCCCAATTATAAGGCCCCTGTCACACACCTTCACCATACTCTTTAATTTGATCTTCCCATGCCCCTTTCTGGTTCATGATGGTATCCCAAGTATCTAACATAAAATCTGCTCAATGGCTATTTACTGAAAGGATGAAAGTTAAAGAGCATTGGATAGCAGAGTCCTGCCTAGGATGGTGCTGTGTATTAATGCACTGGATTTCAAAGTCGGTTTGATCCACAAGATCGGCGGTTCAAGCTCACCAGCCACTCTTTGGAAACCCTCTACAGGGTCACTGTGGGTCAGAACCGACTCTATGGCACTTAACAACAACAACAACCTAGGATAAGCACTGCACTGTGAACCACAAGGTAAGAAACCCTACACAGGGTCACACTATGAGTCAGAACCAACTTGACAGCAATTAACAAAAACACAACCTAGAAATCTGGTCTCCTGCATCCTAATCTAATGCTCTATCTATCTCAAGGCCAGAAAACTCTTAGCTGTTGCCCACCACCCCAGAAATAGGTGGTGAACCCCAAAGCGACCCACTCCCATTAACTGCAGATCCAAGGAGGCAGGGTGGCACCTGAGGATATAAGTTGTTGTTAAGTGCCGTCAAGTCGGTTCCGACCCTGAACAGGGTTTTCAAGGCTATAAATCTTTACAGGATCAGAGAGAGCCTCATCTGTCTCCCGCGGAGCAGCTGGTAGTTTCGAACTGCTGACCTTGCAGTTCACAGCCTGATTCATAACCACTACGCTACCAGAGCTCCTTTGAGGATATAAGTGGCCCCAGGCAATATCCCTCTCATCCTTTTCTTTAGCCAAGGCTGGTCCAGGGACAGGCTGCTGAGCTCCTGGTCTACTTCATGAGCACAGAGAGCAGCAGTCTCGGGGACAGGGGAGCCTAAACTGCACCTGTTCCAAGGTGACACAAAGACCTCTGAACAATTGCCTCAGATTCAGAAAGGGCAGGTCACCATGGGGAAATTCTGAATTTTACCTGGGCAAAAAACAGGCCAACTTCATCCCTTCCACCAGTCCTGGTGTCCCAGAAGGCTGCCTTGGGATTTAGAGGGGCCCAGCAATTTGAGCTTGGCAAGAAAGTTTCCCTGCTGCTCATTCTGCTCTTGGACCAGCTGATAAAGAAGGGAGTCTGGGTGCAAAGTCAGAGCTGTCTGTGTTCCCCCACTCTCCCTACTTCCACCCCAGTCCACACAACAGCCCCCATCAAGGCATCCTAAGAAAAACTGCCTAACTTCCTGGAGGCTTTCTGGAGGCAGCTCTGGGAATAAGGGAAGAGGAGGCCTGGGGAGGTTTGCCAAGGC